GTAGACTCTACATTATTCTTTAGTGCTGCATAGCATTCCATTATGTGTATGTACCATAGTTTGGTCATCCACTCTTCTATAAATCTTAGAGATAAGTCCCTTGCCAGATATGTAATTATCGGCAAATATGAATTTGTTGCTGTCATTTTTGTTATGTGCTTTTTCGTGGTGTTTAGACTTGTTCTTGGTGGGATATAAGGCAGAGAGGGTCCTTGGTCTTGGTTCTACCCATCTATGTGGCTTCTACAGGGCCACCTCTGTCATCAGGAAATGCGCTGACTTTTAACAAAGATTTGCCACAGACAAGACCCCATGCTTGACAGTGGAGGAAATTGGCATTGGTGGTGTGAGCAGTGCCTGTGGGGACAGATTATATGTCTTTGTGCAGGCCTCAGTATGTAATATGGATCGACACAGAGTTTGCAACAGTGGAGTCAAAATAGCAATGGTTGTGAGGATGGTGCAGGACTGGGCAACTTTTCATCCTGGTATCCATAAGGTCACCATGAGTCCGAGCTGGCAGCTAAGAACAACAGCATCCAGCTGCTTGTGTGGCAGGCGGAGAACTTGGGGGACCTTAGCAATGCTTATAGTCTGCCTAGATTTTCAGGATGGCTGCTGCATCCTCCAAGTTTGCTGACGTGAGACGGGAAACTCAGCATTGCACTCATATAGGATAAGCCTTTTATAGCATACAGGAGACACACGCCTTTATTTCTACTAGCCAGCCAACAAAACACATGCAATACCTCACTTCCATTACTCCCTTTGTTGAAAATGAGTCTGTTCTTGAATATTAATTTGTATTTTTATCTCGAACTTGTTCTGGGGGGTTTCCTTATCTCTGCTTTAGTCAACTGATGAAGTGACGAATCAGCTAATTCCCAACTCCTTGGAGTTTCTATGCACCTTGGCAAGTTCTCCACAAGTGGGATTGCTTCATGTGTGGTACTTGATATTGGACAGTCTTAATAATGACCCTGGTCTACTTTCTTCTAGTGCATCCGCTCTGGGAGAGCGTGGACCTGGTTCCTGCAGGCAATCGTCAGTCACCAATCAATATCCGGTGGAGGGATAGTGTTTACGATCCTTGCCTAAAACCTCTCACCATCACTTACGATCCAGCTACCTGCCTGCATGTCTGGAATAATGGGTACTCTTTCCTCGTGGAGTTTGAAGATTCTGCAGACAAATCAGGTGAGAACGAGATCAGGTGGCCCAGTCTGGAGTTAAAGGACAGCATAGGCTCCCTCTGTGATGTCACAAAACTCATTTGTTACCAAGGGCATGTAACCTGTTTGACTTTCTTTTTGAATGTGAGAAAAATATCCCTTCTAGAACTAGGAGCTCTGGTGGCAAAGTGATTAAGGCATTTGGCTGCTAACCAAAAGATTAGCGCTTTGAACCCACTTGCCACTCCATGGGAGAAAGATTAGACAGTCTGATTCCATAAGGATTTATACCCTTTGAAACCCTATGGAGCAGTTCTGCCTATAATGTTGCTCTGAGTTGGAATCAACTCGATGGCAGTGGGTTTAGTTCTTATGC